AGTGTCCAGGAACCAGAGGAGTAAAGTATTTGACACAAAGTGTCCATGGACCAAAAGAATGAAGTAATTGACACAAAGTGTCCAGGGGCCTGAGGTGTGAATTAATTGACACAAAGTGTCCAGAAACCAGAGGGGTGAAGTAATTGACACAAAGTGTCCAGGGACCTGAGGAGTGAAGTAATTGAAACAAAGTGTCCAGAAACCAGAGGAGTGAAGTAACTGACACAAAGTGTCCAGAAACCAGAGGAGTGAAGTAACTGACACAAAGTGTCCAGAAACCAGAGGAGTGAAGTAATTGACACAAAGTGTCCAGAAACCAGAGGAGTAGGGTAACTGACACAAAGTGTCCAGGGACCAGAGGAATGAAGTATTTGACACAAAGTGTCCAGGGACCAGAGGAGTGAAGTAATTGACACAGAGTGTCCAGGAGTCAGAGGAGCGAAGTAATTGACACAAAGTGTCCAGGGACCTGAGGAGTGAACTAATTGACACATAGTGTCCAGAAACCAGAGGAGTGAAGTAACTTACACAAAGTGTCCAGAAACCAGAGGAGTGAAGTAATTGACACAAAGTGTCCAGGGACCTGAGGAGTGAAGTAATTGACACAAAGTGTCCAGGGACCTGAGGAGTGAAGTAACTGACACAAAGTGTCCAGGGACCAGAGGAGTGAAGTAATTGACACAGAGTGTCCAGGAGTCAGAGGAGTGAAGGAATTGACACAAAGTGTCCAGGGACCTGAGGAGTGAAGTAATTGACACAAAGTGTCCAAGGACCTGAGGAGTGAAGTAATTGACACAAAGTGTCCAGAAACCAGAGGAGTGAAGTAATTGACACAAAGTGTCCAGAAACCAGAGGAGTGAAGTAACTGACAAAAAGTGTCCAGGGGCCAGAGGAGTGAAGTAATTGACACAAAGTGTCCAGGGACCAGAGGAGTGAAGTTATTGACACAGAGTGTCCAGGAGTCAGAGGAGCGAACTTATTGACACAAAGTGTCCAGGGGCCAGAGGAGTAAACTAATTGACACAAAGTGTCCAGGGAAGAGAAAAGTGAAGTAAATGACACAGCGTGTCAAGGAGTCAGAGGAGTGAAGTAATTGACCCAAAGTGTCCAGGGACCTGAGGCTTGAAGCAATTAACACAAAGTGTCAAGGGCCAGAGGAGTGAAGTAATTGACACAAAGTGTCCAGGGACCAGAGGAGTGAAGTAATTGACACAAAGTGTCCAGGGACCAGAAAAGTGAAGTAAATGACACAGAGTGTCCAGGAGTCAGAGGAGTGAAGTAATTGACCCAAAGTGTCCAGGGACCTGATGAGGATTGAAGCAATTAACACAAAGTGTCCAGGGACCAGAGAAGTGAAGTAAATGACACTAACATTGTCATACATATGTTGTAGATTGTACATTATATTTATATAAGTATCATGGGACCAACCACCCTAGTCCCTCTGTGCGATTAGAGCAATAATACTTTAGATTACTATTTGCAACAAAAAATCAGTGATCCTCATCCTATTGTCAAATTTGATGCTGGTAGATAATTATGTTTTTTCTGGAGTAAGTCCATTCATTTAACATTGTGTAAACAAAACGCTGGAACATACATGTAGTTATATACTTGACAAAATGAATTACCAGATTTGATGATAATGTGTTTTTACTAGAATTTGTTGGAGGATGATGGCTTTAATACAGTAATAGGGAATTTTGAATTTTACAAGGTGGTGCCCAACTATGCATAAAGACTAAGGGAGATACACTTCATGTGCACATACATTTGTACATGTATTCAGTTTGATTTAGTTTTTTGTTCCATAATTCATTCTGTTACCTGGTTACTGTACAAAAAGTGATGGTGTATTGTGGAATGTGGATACCAATTTTCATGGATTGAGGAAAAATTGTATTATCGTGGATATTTGAATTCATGCTTTTGCTAAAGCCGGCATACAGGCCTATAGAAAATTTTTACTTCATTGACCATTCAAATTTCTGGTTAAGCTATACCCTCAAACTCCATGTAAATTGGTATCCAACGCATAATAATGAATCCAAAGTATTATGTAAAAGCAGAACTTGCACTTCACTAGGTGCCATTGTTCTGTACAGTTCATCAAGATACTGTTACTTGTTATAATTAAATTTACCTGAATCGATTTTGCTGTAAAGGCAGGCTAGACAAATCTCTGTATCTACAGATATACATGTACATGTATCTTTATAGTTTGAGGTTGATTTTAATGTGGTTCCTCAACAAAAACCATCATGAAAATCCCTGCACTCCTTCTTAATTCAGATTTGATGTGGATGAAAATTAATGATATCAGTACTATCAAGGGGAGACCATTTACAATTTAAATAGTAAAACTTACAAAGTTCTTATTTGTTTGGTCAAGAGGCCTGTTTTTTATTGTGATGAAAACCCTCCGCTCTCTTGTATGGAATTAATTTCTTTCAAAGTTTTGATTTTTTGAAATTAAAAGTGTTGAAAAGAATTAATGTACATGGGCCAGGTGATTGCAAGAATCACTGTTGAAGTTTATATGATCTATATATATATACTGGGACATGTATATTAATAATAATCTTAAAGATCCAAAAGTACATTAACTAAGTTGCCACCAGATCATTAGAAAAGTAGTTAGTACTGTTGACGACTTGATGTCTTTTCATTATTTGTGTTTTTGGTTGCTGTCTTGTGGACATAAACGCCACATCTTCTGATGTATTTTTTTAACCGATTACTGTGTCTAAAATGTAACAAAACTTTGTGTGCTTACCCACAACATAAATATCTACAAACCTGATTGAATATGTTTACATGTGCAGTGTCCTAGCTGACTCAAAAAGAGGGACACAGCTCCTGATGTCCTTTTTATGCACCCTTGTGTCCTTATAGCCCTGTCTTATGCATTTCTGGTTTATACAGGAAGATAGATACATTTGTACTTTTCAATGCAAAAACAAACGTTGAAAAAAGGGGGCCCCCAAACCATGTAAAGTTTGGAGTGAGACATGTAAAAAGTTTATGCATTAACCATATATTTAGCTCCATAAGGGGTGCACCCTGCCCCTCCCCCTAAGTCTGCTTCTGACCTAAAATGCCCTTCATATTTAATATGTGTTCCTTAGCACTTAAATTCTTGGTAGAATACTGATGTGTTTTGTGATTCTCAGTAGCAATGAGGTATTAATAATTAGTAAGTCTTAACCTCAGCTATAAATATTAAATGGATTAATATCATTTTTCTAAAAAAAATCCTGTTTTATTAAGTAAAATAATTCCAGTCATGAATAATGAATTAGAATTTCCTGCTTTTAGAAATTGACATTTGATGATGACTCTTGATGTAACAGTATTGATTTCTCATCATATGTTCTAATAATAACTTCTGTTTCTGCATATAACAATAAGGAATGGTGAGTTCAATTTACATTTTATTCATCTTGTATAATTTTGTAAATCGAGAAAAATATGTAACAAGGATATTTCAGATATAACATATAATTTTTATGTATATTTTCTTTCTTCTCTTATTTCTTCAGTGATTAGTACTATATTTAAGCTCGAAGGGATTATGTTTGAAATTCAGATTTATGTTAAGTATATTCTATAAACAACAACCCTTTTTCTGCTTAAATGAGAAAAACAAAATTTGTAGTAAAATGTATCTACATATTTGTAGAGGCTTCTTTGAATTTTTATAAATTCATGCTTGAGAAAAAAATGGTTAGATGCCAAATAGCATGATTAGATAATCAAATTAACAAGGAATATAAAAAATTGTGCAGTGAAAAAAGATTTACAAAAATGCCACTTGTCATTTGAAATATTTGCATTTAAATGATTACATATAACTATCTACATTTAAATTTTGTTTAAAAAAACAATATTTTTAATATATAATGATATTAAGTAAATTAGCAGGAAAATAGGTGGGAGTTTGTGACCAAACCATGCTACAGTACCTGTAAAATTACATGTCTTAATATTATAAACATCCCCTTTCCTGTATGGCTGTAGCCCTTTTTTCACAAACTATCAGTGACTAAGAATTGTAAATTCTACTCATTTTGTACAAATTTATTCATTATGAAGAAGGTTCCTTAATTCCTTAAGCAAAGTTGACCTTTGGTGGATTACCAAATCCCTTAGGCAAAGTTGACCCTTTAGTGGATTACCAAATCCCTTAGGCAAAGTTGACCCTCTGGTGGATTACCAAATCCCTTAGGCAAAGTTGACCTTTTGGTGGATGACCAAATCCCTTAGGCAAAGTTGACCCTTTGGTGAATGACCAAATCCCTTAGGCAAAGTTGACCCTTTGGTGGATGACCAAATCCCTTCGGCAAAGTTGACCCTTTGGTGGATGACCAAATCCCTTAGGCAAATTTGACCCTTTGGTGGATGACCAAATCCCTTAGGCACAGTTGATCTTTGGTGGATTATCAAATCCCTTAGGCAAAGTTGACTCTTTGGTGGATGACCCAATCCCTTAGGCAAAGTTGACCTTTGGTGGATTATCAAATCCCTTAGGTAAAGTTGACCTTTGGTGGATTACAAAATCCCTTAGGCAAGGTTGACTCTTTGGTGGATTATCAAATCCCATAGGCAAAGTTGACCTTTGGTGGATTACCAAATCCCTTAGGCAAAGTTGACCCTTTGGTGGATTATCAAATCCCTTAGGCAAAGTTGACCTTTGGTGGATTACCAAATCCCTTAGGCAAAGTTGACCCTTTGGTGGATTACCAAATCCCTTAGGCAAAGTTGGCATTTGGTGGATTACCAAATCCCTTAGGCAAAGTTGATGTTTGATGGATTTGGCTATTCATTTTACATTCCTGCCCTTTTGGTAATATAGCCATTTATGTGTTTAGGTTCTCTTACACCCTTGGCATTATAATTTTGGAGTCTGAGCATCCCTGATGAAGATTACAAGAATACAGCTTTGGACACAGGCAATTTTTAAAGAGTTATTTTCATAATTAATATTCTTCTTTTTTCAGAATCCTTCTATTGGACAAGAATATTTGAAGACTTGGTTTTCTGTTACGATGGATACAGATCCTGTTAATTACAGGAGGAAAGATGAGACGTTCCCTGTGCCTAAACCCATTCCAGAGAGGAAGGCATCAAAATCTGGTAAATCACAGATTATAGTTATTATATATAAAACAAATGAAGATGTTTGATAAATGTTAAGGAATTGAGTAGACTGAATAAACAATATTAAAATAAAGGCAGTGACAGATCCAGAGGGTGGTTTGGGGGTTGGAACCCCCTTTTTTGTTTGACAAATTTTGTTTGGGAATCAAAGGGGAGCATACTCCTTCTACACCCCTGGATCTGCCAATATTGGTAAAGGAATTTTGTTATTTTCTCCTCCTCCGATTGAACCTCTGACTTTTTATAGATATTGAATTCAGCAGCTTACTCTAATAACTAATTTTTCCAAGCTTAAAGTATTAAAAGTGTTCTGTTCGTGGTAATGTAATTAAAGTAGATTGTATTCATAATACAATGTACCGGTACAATAAATAAATAGACACTGATCTATGACATTTATAAACTCCTATTGGCCATGACAATAAATTATTATAAAATCACTTTGATAAATGAATGGCTCAGAAGTAGTAGTAATAATTCATACATGAAAAATCTCTGTAATTGGTTTTATTAGTTTTTCATGAATACCAAAGATTCTTACAATTAAGTAAGAATACAGAAATAATCGAGTTCTGTAGAAAAAAGGATATATATCCTTCATTTCTTTACAGATCAATAAAAACAATAAATTACTGTTAAGAAACTAAGGTTTAAACTTCCTCAGACAAAGTTGGCCTTAGAAGGATTTAGCTATTATTTTATAATTAGCTCCGTTTGTTTATATATAGCTCTTCAACTGTTTCAATTCTTATTTATCTTTGGATTTCAAACATTCGGCTTTGAGTGTTCCTGATGAAGGTAAATCTAGAAAAGCGCTTCGGACGTATGACATTTATTAGGTGGTGTTTTCATTTTTTACTGGTATTACAAATGTATATACAATGTAGGAGGACATTATTGAATGCAAAAGAGACAGTTTTTTTTATTGTTTGAACGATATTACCCTATTGTGAGAAATTCACAATAACAGTTAAGTGTACTATATATGTTCAGAAATTATTCCCTGTATGTAATTAAAAGACTGAACCAATCCCTGTCAAGTTTTACAATTAAGGTCAAGTTCTAAGAGGAATTATCTTTTTTAGAGCTCATTTTTTGTATAGTAACAAAGTTCCATAATAGATCACCTTGACCTACATTTCATGGCAATGCTAAAATCAATATCATTGCAACAATAATAACAATAAACATTTCCATTCTCAGTTGTATAGAGAAATGAAATTTTGACAGTGTGCACATCTTGGGAGTATAGAGTAAACAGGATCTTTGTTGTGAAAGCTGTACCAAAGGCTTATTGTGAAATAAAAGCCATAGATTTTTTTACCACATAAACCACATTCTTCTTCTATGTAAATTTCTGCAGCTGGTTGTACGAACGTGTCATTAGTCTAATGAGTCATTAAGTCTTCATTAGCTTGATGCATCATAAAGGCTTAATGAAGACTTAAATACCCATTAGGCTAATGCCACGTTCGTACAACCGGCTGCTTACCTATGTATTTTTCATAATCAAATTAAAGGATCATGCAAAAATAAGAAACATTAACCCTTAAGAGAAAGAGATAAGTCAAGCCTAATAATAGCAGACCATGTAAAGATTATTCATTTTTGACAAGTATGGACAATGAGAGATAAATCTGTTCAAATGATTGCCTAATATTATAGAAAAACAAAGGATATTATAAGTTATTCATCCATGACACAAAATCAGTACATGTACATCAGAAAAACACAAAAAGCAAAGGAACAGCACTTTTTTTGTGGGGCCTTTAACACGGAGCAAAAAAACTCACCTCACTGCAAGTTTAAGACGGCTCCTAGCACCAGATTCAGCGAAATTCTTTGCCAAATTTATACGGATAGACTTTGTATGATGTAACACCACCAAATCTGGCCCGGTCAAAAATAACATACTAGAAAGAAGAAAATGTTTTAATATGTTTCTTTGCTTAATCATTGCAATGTTTAGTTTGAAGTTCACCAAGCATAATGAAAGGAATATTCCGATGTGATTTTTGTTTCTTTTTGTCACAGGTAAGAAGGAGAGAAGACAAGCCTGTAGTAGACCATGTAAAGAACATTCCTTCTTGACAGATGTGGCAGACGTCCGCGCCATGGAACAAGGACTCTTACAATTACTGGAGGATTTCCATTCAGGCAAATTACAAGCTTTTGGTAGGTTTTTAATTACTTGCTGCTTGGAATATATTGTGGATTTATAAGTAGGGCCCCACCTAGTGGAGGGTTGCCATATAGTGATCAGTCTGTCCGTCCATCCGACCGTCCATCCGTAACAAATTATGTCCGCTCTATATCTAGAGAAATGTTATAATTTCATACTTTATACTTGACATGTATATTAACCAACACCAGAGGGTGTGTCATAATGTTTGTACAACTTCCTAGGTCAAAGGTCAAGGTCAAAAACTTTAAGTTTCAGTTGACAACTGTTTTTTACAGAGGGGCCCACAGAGATGGCTCCCATCTCAATGATGTCTAGTTTTTTGTGGTATACCTATTTTCGTGAGTACAGTTGAACCATCAATTCAAATTTGAACCATCAATTCAATGTTCAACGAATTACAAATTTTCTATAGGCTTATATGCAGACTTTGAGATAACCACGAAAATGTTAGTTTTCCTGAATCCAAGAAATTGTTGTCCAGGAAAATTGATTCCACAGTGCACAAAATCACCATTGCCGTTTATAGGTCTTTAATTATTACTCCAAATACCTGAAATACTTTTTTAATGTTAAAAAAAACATACTTGATTTGAACAACAATTCTAACTTTCAGAATATAAATTACTGACATTTTTTATTTAACTTTTTTAGGCGGTGGTTCAACATTTCAGCAGATGGATATGATAAGAGAGCAACAAGAATGTTTAGCACGACTCCATTTCGAATTAGACATTCATCAAGACTTACAGAGAGGAAACGATGAAAAGGCTAGAATTTCGGCCAATTCAAAACTGTCTAGACTTATTGATCAGGTAAAAATAAAAGGCTAGAATTTTGGCCAATTCAATAAATTTATAGACTTTTTGATCAGTGAAAATCAAAGGCCAAAATTTTACCAAATCAAAAGCTGCTTAAACTTCTTGATCATGTAAAATTTAAACCAACTATCTCGACTTATTGGTCAGGTAAAACTTAAAGACTTGAATCACACTTAATTGAAAACTAAACTAATTGTCTTGTTAAAAATTAAAGGCCATAAACTGAGCCAATCAAGAACTGTCTAGACTTATTGATCAGTGAAAATTAAAGGCCAGAATTACAGCAAATCAAAAACTGTCTAGACTAATTGATCAGGTAAAACTTCCATGGCTTGACTCACACTCAATCGAAAACTAAACTACTTAGTCAATCAAAAATTTCTAGACCTGTTGATTTGAATTAAAGAATAGTAGTCAATCAAAAACTGTCTTGACTTATTTATCAGGTAAAACATAAAAGTTTTAATCACACTCATTTAAAAAGTATACTGATTGACAAGGTAAAAAAATAAAAGGCCAGAAATTCAGCCATTCAAAATTGTCTAAACTAATTGATTAATTGCAAATCAAAGTACAGAGTTTCAACTACTGTAAATTCAGAAAATATTGCGTACATTTATTATTGGAATTTTTGAAAAATGGACAAAAATGTTAGATTTATTATTGCCGTTTCGGGAAAAGCTGCATACAAATATACATATACATGTATCAGATATCAGAATGTAAGTTTTGAATATTATTGTGATACTCACTCAGTCAGATATTCACATTAATAAAAACCCGCAATTATTTCTGAATTTTATACTACAGTAATCAAAAACTGTCTTTACTTATTGATTAGGTAAAAGAAAGGCTTTAATCACTCTCAATTAACACTAAAATAATTGACAATGTAAAAATAAAGGGCCAGAAATTCTGCCATTCAAAAGTGGTCACGGCTTATTGATCAGTTGAAATTCAATCTTAGCCAATCAAAAGCTGTCTAAACTACTTGATTAGTTGAAAATCAAAGTACACAATGTCAGGCAATCTAACACTGTTGAAACTTAGGACAAAAAAAAGGGTATGATCTAGACCAATTAAAAGATTGACCAATCATAATCAGAAGCTATAAGTTATATAATTTACTGTACTTCAAAACTTTAAAAGTAAACATTTTCAAAGACTTCAAATCATTGGGGGCTGCTGTGGCTGAGTGAATTAAGTAGATCATCGACTGTATCACTAGCCTGTCAACACTGAGGTTGTGAGTTCTAAACCTCGCCATGGCAGGTTCTTTAGACTCCAATCTTAATTGACTAGGATTGCCAGTTTTCCTGCCAACACTGTGTGGTTCTCTCCAGGCACTTCCACTTCCTCCTCCAATAATAACTGGCTGCCACGATGTAGCCAATAGTGCTGAAAGTGATTTTAAACTCAAATAATCAATCAATCAATCAAAACAAATCATTGGCACTCGTTAATCTTAAGATGGAATCATGTCTCAAATCATCATAGAAAATACCTTATAAAAAGTTGAATAACAAAAGTACCGAACTCCAATGAAAATTCAAAATGGAAAGTCCTTTATCAATTGGCAAAATCAAAAGCTCAAACACATCAAACGAATGGATAACAACTGTCATATTCCTGACTTGGTACAGGCAATTCCTTTTGTTGAAAATGGAGGATTTAACCTGGTTTTATAGCTAGCTAAACCTCTCACTTGTATGACAGTTGCATATAAACTTAATAGATATAACATCTCTACAATATAACATATTAGTATATTTTTTTGAGAAGTGATTCTGCAGAAGCTAGTAAACATGTTTATATAGTTTGAAAGTGTATATATTTTTATTTGTTTTTTTTTAGCTTCATTCCATTAGTTCTTCAATGTATCCTTTTGTATGGACATCAATTTTGGGAATTTGATTGGTTGAGAACATTCCTTTTGTATGAACACCAATGTTCAATTTGATTGGTTGAGAACATTCCTTTTGAATGAACACCAATGTTCAATTTGATTCGTTTAAAACATTCCTTTTGAATGAACCTCAATGTTGTCAATTTGATTCGTTCAGAACATTCCTTTGGGAAGATAACTTGATTCTTGATAAAATATCTGACTTCAATCTATTATTATTAACATCTGAAATTGGGAAGCAAATGTTTCTGTTTAATTTAATGATAGCTAATGAGTTGAATGAACTAATTACTTTGTCCAAGACATCTGTTGGGAATTCTGGACTATGGGATTTAATTATATTGTGATGCGGGAACCAACATTTTATTTTCATGGGATTTCATGATTTGGCATTTATATTTCTAGTGAATTTTGGAAAGAGACATCCTCCTACACCCCTTTTTGTACAAGTTTTTATATTCAGATGAAAAGTCATGTTTTTGTCATTCTTGTCTTTCCTTAACTCAAACACAGACAAAAATTACACAAGACAGACTACAGTCCACAGAAGAGATGATAAGAAGAAAGATTGACTTGTTTCCGGTGACAAGTTAGCCAGAAAGGTTGACTTGTTTCCAGTGACTAGTTAGCCAGAAAGGTTGACTTGTTACCTATGACTAGTTAGCCAGAAAGTTGACTCATTCCAGTGATTAGTTAAACAGAAAGTTGAATGACTTCAGAAATCATGTGTGATATTTTGTATTATAATTTTGTGACTTAGTGTCGAATTTTTTTAAACTATTGTGTATTCATTATTTTTCGTTGGATATCCATTTTCATGAATTTCACAAGTAAAGGTGACCTACAAAAGACAAAGGGTGATAAGGGCTGTTTTTGGCCCCAACCCCATATTATTTAATTTGTCATGTTGTTTACTAAATACAAATTTTCTATAAGCTTGTATGTTGACTTTTGTAGCAAAACCACAAAATCAAATATCTATGGAAATACAATGGTTTTCTCACTCCACAAAAATAAAGGAATCAATAGTATTGTAAACTCAATTAATATTTGAATTTTTGCTGGAAAAGAAACATATTATATCGAATTGTAAAAATTGGATGTTCTTTTGTATAAATAACCAACAAAATAAAAAAAATCATGAAAATGCATAATTGACCACAATGGCCTAATGAAAAAAAAAGTGTCAGCAAAAATAATTTGGTTCACAGTATTATCTACTGTGTATTAAGTTTGCAAATGCAGAAGTAAGGATGTATCATTTTTTTTACAATTCAGGGGCTCTTTTCACAAAACATCTTACGACAAAAATTTATCGTAAGTTATACTGAAATGTTCATGACTTACGAGTGTTTTTTTCTCGTAAGATTTTTTGTGAAATTAGTCGCTGTAATTATTTTATAATTTTTTGACATTTGCAATTGACGAAAAAGTAAATGTTCTTTTCTTTTCAATCTATCCCATTTTTTCCCTATTATCTGTTTGATTCATGTTTAGTTTGGGATTTTATAAAGGAAAAATTATGTAGAAAAAACTTAAATCTGATAGGAAATTAAAGGTTTATATTGATATATTTGTTTCAATAAGTATGATAAATAAGAGCATTTAGTCAATATTCAGACAATTCGCATTATCTTATATGTCCTTTTATTCAAAAACAATTTTTGTGAAACTTGTTTTTTTTAGTTTACTTTAAATATTACAACCATACACTCAGGACAAGGCATTAAATCATGTATTTCATGCCAAAATTTTTTAAGTTGGCAGGTATGAAAATTTGTAAAAAAAAAAAACATTTTTGAAATAGATGAAATTAAATGTCTGAATGAATTTATTCATAACTGTAATTGAAAGTGTTATGAAATATATAGTATTTTGTAAACAGTTAAGCATCCATAATCAGAATTTTATTAAAAAAAATCCATCTGCACAAAATGTTGAAATGTTTTGTATGTATATTCCACTAAAGTTATTTAATCAACAATATTGATCTCAGTATTTGTTATAACTTTCAATCACAGGTATTTCTTAAGGACCATCTCAAAATACAAGTTTTGATTTAAATAGATAACATATGTAATTTTCCTTCCTCAGCTTTTGATATAATGAAATAAACACATTTTTGGGGCATTTATAGAAGAAATGAAAAGATATGGTTTGTGTAAATGAAAACTTATTTAGAATAGCATAAAGGATCTAATTTTCACTGCCACTTTCTGAAGTAGAAAATAATACAAATATAGATTGTTGTCAAACTAGGATCCGCTATTAAATGAGTACATCAGCAATGTTCGAAAATCATGAAAATACTTTGCATCAAAGAAGGCTTGAAAGGGCTTTACACAACAACAAAAATCAGCAAAAATCAGTTTGTTTACAAAATGTAAAGTGAAAGCAACTGAAGCTTACCCATCGGTTGTTCTGAGATTCCTGTTTGATATGTGGCCTTGACCTGTTTTCTGCTTTTTGGTCAGGTTGTTGTCTCTTTGACACATTCCCCGTTTCCATTCCATGGTTAAATTTGTTTTTTTTTTAGTTTTCAACAGAATAGATATATATTATGTAGGCTTGTATGCAGGATTATCTTCAAACAACAAATTCAAGTATTCAGGAAAATGCAACTATTCTTCTATCCTCAAAAATAGATAAATGTATCCCCAATAATTTTATTACATAGGGGAATAGGCTGTTTCAGAATCTAAAGGAATATGGGTAATTTTATTGTTTGTTCCCCAAAATGAAAATAATGTCACATCATTGGTTGAATTTAAAGTGTTTAGGACATTTTTAACCAATCACGATACTTTGGTGTAAACTTTTGAAAATATTACCCAGAATGCATTAGATTCTGAATTAGCCAATTGAAAGTCCTTATAAATGTTCAAACTAATACCTACAGGAACTTGTATTTTGAAATTGTCACTTTCTTTACTTGCTTTTCTATAGACATAGTTTATATTTTTGTTGTATTTTTTTATTTATTAGAAGAGAGTTTTGTTTAATAAATGTATTCCATTTTAGTCGACAATCAAATCTTTTTATGTGAAAATAGTACATTTCATTTCAAAATTATCAGTATATTTTTCCGTTCATGTTGTCTTGTTCACTTGACATTTATTAACCTTTAACCTTTATATTATGGCAGGTTTATAGTAGAAATGTATCATCCTTAAATTGGCCCAAAAAAATAATTATGACAATATAGTCCAGGTTTTCATTTTATACCTGCACAATATGCCTAAAAAATTGACAAATTTAGGGTTCTGTGCCTCCATTTAGGCAAAAATTAGACCTGTGTCCTCACATGTGACATTTAAAGCAACTTGTATTATATCAAAGTTAATTTTCTATATGAATGTTTTGTAATTTAGTTAACAGCTTTTTTGTACCATAATTTTAACCTTTAAGTGCCAACCTGCCTAAATATCAGGCAATGGTGAAAACATGACAAACAAATACCCACTCATGTTTACATTAGTTTATTTTCAAAATATATCATGGTGCATGAAAATAACATTTGTTTCCTTTTCCTGATCTGGTATTTCAAGATAAAATTTGGTTGAAATGCACTAGAAATTAACAATTAATGGGAGCTAACTCCTTAACTTGTTATCATTCTAACCAAAAGTTATCTTTAGATTTCTCAAATTACAAGACATGCAGAAAGAAAGACGTACAGATTCTTCCTCTGGATGAGGGTAACTTCAAAATAGGATGGTTAGGTAGGTTGGTTTTTTTTTTTGCCATGTTTGATATTCTTCTAAATTGCCTGATTCTTACAAAGACTGGCACTTAAACAAACTGTTGAGAGGTTGTTGATGTGAATTTTAATGAGTTGTTATTAATACCATTTGCACTAAATTTACAATGTAATCATGACAGTTCATATACATTGCTCAAATCAGAATTAACATTTGCTTAAGTGTGTGGAGGGATATTTTTTATTTTTATATTAGTATACCAATGTTTTTTGTTGCTTTATAATTTCATTGCTATGTTTTAGATCTGTATATCTACTTGAAATATTTCATTTGTTTGGAAACGCCCACCTTACAAAGAATCAAAATATATTTTTTCTTCATTTAATCATGAGTTATCTTCCATTTGTATCAATCCATCCCTATGAAAAAAAAAAAATATTTATTCTTTCCTCAATCAGATCAATGTTTTCTGAGCTTTATATCATTTTTGTTTATCATTACATGCTCTTGCAAATTAATTTATCTTTATATTAGACATTTTGATAAGAATTGAAGAAATTGCCATCATACTGTATAGATGTATTTCTTTCAAAGGAAGTTATTTCTTTGATAAAGGACAGATAATTAAGTGAAGGAGCTGTTATTTGTGCATGTTTATTTTCATTGACTGAGGAAATTCAATTGATAATGAAATCTTCAAATGTTTGTGATTTTGGTTTGTATTTTTGTGATTTCTGTGTTTTTTTGGACTACAATATCCACAATATATTTGTTCCAAACATAGAGAATTAACATAAAGTGAAAAAATTGATGATTTAGCATCAACAGTAAATCAAGGTTGCTATTAAATATAAAAAAAATATTCATTTTATTGTTTCCATGGTTATTGTAAAATTGAAATAGAAATTAATCAGATTATTGTTCTGTGAAGATTGAGAAGGCATTCCTATTTCATCTAAGGGCATACAATACTGTTAATACCCACCATTCATTATTGCTTGACATTATGATACAAAGCAAATTTTTATTCAAACTTTTCAAAATGCCAAGAAAAATATCTTGCGTTCTTTTTTGTTTTTTTTAAAGATATTTCAGTTTCACTTCAGGAAAACGATCAGAAATTTCAGACGTTATATATCAATGTTGAAGAAAAATATAAATTAAAAAAATATTTTTTAAAAAAAATGTCTTTTGGTTTTCTATAAAAAGTCTGTAGACATTCAAGTTGTAGTTGATATCATTAATTTAAATAATGCAATTATTTGTCCAGTAAAGAATGTTGACATCATACTTAATTAAAAAAAAAAATATACACCAACACTTATGTCTCCATTAATTTTTCTTATAATTTTGTTGAAGTTTTCTTCAATCCATGCAAATTTGAATTGCCATTATTTTTTAATTTAAATTTAGAAATCTTCATGCAATTTTTTTTATATATGTAAGAACAATCTCATTTTTTAGATGAATTAGATTTTGTTCCCTATTAATACAGTGTGATAGTTATATAAACGTTACTCTTGGCATTGTTCATACTGATCCCTGCTACATATACTACTGTATTGTATGTCATGAATGTTTTTGGTCTGTAAAAGAAGCTACAGATTTTATATTTAACGAATTTAAGAAGAAAATTCAAGATGAAATCCAATCAATTTTTGTTTGTTTAAATGAAAATTTCCATCTTGTGCTTATATAAGTTACTTTTCTTGTTTTTACACAAGTCTTTCATGATTTAACATTTCTTCAAGATATCCTGAACCGTCCTTTATTTTATATCATTCCAGTTACGTCCCAGTTTCTCTTATATGTTTAATTGAGTTCTTTTTACAGAGGCAGTCACCCTTAAATGTTCAATCTTTGTCTCATTAAGTATTGGTGTCCCTAGTCAGGAAGAAGTTTGGACAAATATTTACTGGAAAGAACATGTAAAAAAAAAAAAAAACCTATGGATTTTTTTGTATGTATTTTTTCACTTATTTTAAATAACAAAACTTTTTAAGTAAGTTTTAACCAGAAATGTGAGTGAATGAAAAAGGATAACTCCCCCTGTTAAGTCAATTCAATTATCACCCTTTAAGTTGGACTGGGAATATATTTCTTGATGCACATCCTCAGGTAATGTCCTTCCAACTGTTTAAAGATTATCAATATCCCACTAGTTATAATAAGAGTTATGCTTATAATGCACATGGACAAGACAAGACAGACAAACAGGGAATGATGAGATCTTTCTTAAGTAACCCCTAAAAACTTTGTGTGCAGGGGGTATAAACACACACGGTTTTCTGATCTTTTTCTAGTTCTATTTTTTAGAATAAGAACATAGATTACATGCTCTAAATATGTGTTGAGATTGAACTGTACTTATGATTTTATTTTGAACATACAATTATTAAGGCCATTAAAGTCTGAATATGCTTTAAAACTAAGGTTTTCAGAAATAGGTAAAATTAATTTTGAGTAGCATAATTCCATTATATGTAGTATACTGAAACTAGATTTGTTTTTTACAATGTCTTATAGAAAAAAATGGTTGCTATTTAATTGATGTGTGGTCAATTTATATATTGCCAATGTTTTTTCTTTTCATCAGATTTAAGAATAATAGGACTATGAAAAATAATCACCACTTTAATCTTAATACCATCTTGAAAATCTCATGCAGAGAATCATATCATGTGCCAATTTCAACACATTGAAGCTTTAGGCTAAAATATACATTTCAGCAAAGAATAATTTTATCAAACTTTTCTACATGTACAATACATATGAATAGTGTTACAATGTATTTTCTAATAAACATTCCATTAGGTTTATTTTGTTGTATTAGCTTTTGTTTCTCTCTCAGCACACATGTCTCAAAGGAACCTTTTTAGCTCACAGCTATTGCTATCACTTGGCATCCGTCAACGTTGGCTGTATGTTGTCATAAAAAAAAAAAATTTAAATGTTCTCTTCCGAAAATACTGGGCCAAATGTTTTCAAATTTTTAAAATTGTTTCCAGGGATTTAGATGTGATCCTTCAAAAAACATGACTGCTGTAGCTAAAAATAGGACTTGGGGTAAAACAGAAGTTTATGGCTTATATCCGGTATCTAAAGAATTAAAGCAATAAGAGCAAAATTGACAGACTAAACATGATCAGCAGGTTAAGGGCTATCTTCACTGAAAATTTTCAGAAAAATTGTACAAACATAAAAATAAGAAGATGTGGTATGATTGCCAATGAGACAACTCTCCACAAGAGACCAAATGATACAGAAATATAAAACACCTATAAAAGCCCCCGAAATGACAAATGTAAAACAAAGTTTGTAATTACTGTGGATTCATTATTATTCGTTGGATACTAATTTTCGTGGATTTCTTGGGTACAGATGAACCGTGAATAAATGTTCAAGGAATTACAAGTTTTCTATAGGCTTGTATGCAGACTTTGGCAAAACCACAAAATGTAAGTTTTCCCTCAATCCATGAAAATCAGTAGCCACAAAAATAAATGAATTCACAGTAGTCAGTTTGAGAATAACCACTGACGACAGATAAATGATATTTTGTGTGTAGTTGTCAGAAATTAGCACATCTCATATCCATGGAGATTATTTCGCCCCGTCTCCTCAGCCATGGTTCATTTTTACATTGTTTACATGTTATGGCTAAGTCTGTGTTTTGGTATTGAAAACCTCTAAATTCATTAAGATTAAATATCAAAATAGCAGGTTAAATAAAATTGAGAATGGAAATGGGGAATGTGTCAAAGAGACAACAACCCGACCACAGAACAGACAACAGCAGAAGGCCACCAACAGGTCTTCAATGCAGCGAGAAATTCCCGCACCCGGAGGCGTCCTTCAGCTGGCCCCTAAACAAATATATATACTAGTTCAGTGATAATGAACGCCATACTAAACTCCAAATTGTACACAAGAAACTAAAATTAAAAATAATACAAGACTAACAAAGGCTAGAGGCTCCTGACTTGGGACAGGCGCAAAAATGCGGCGGGGTTAAACATGTTTATGAGATCTCAACCCTCCCCCTATACCTCTAGCCAATGTAGAAAAGTAAACGCATAACAATACGCACATTAAAATTCAGTTCAAGAGAAGTCCGAGTCTGATGTCAGAAGATGTAACCAAAGAAAATAAACAAAATGACAATAATACATAAATAACAACAGACTACTAGCAGTTAACTGACATGCCAGCTCCAGACTTCAATTAAACTGATTGAAAGATTATGTCTTCATCATATGAATATCAGGCACAATCCTTCCCGTTAGGGGTTTAGTATCATACCATCATAACATATATGAGAAGAACATAACCCGTGTCATGCCAACAACTGGTTTTTAAATAAATGTGTTTAGTGCCGATGCAAAGACCCTATAAGTGAATCAATATTAACGCCAAAATATGCAATCTTTAATGACTTTATGGCCTGTAGAAGCGTCACAATCGAGATGCCAAAGACAATAGAAATGATCCCTATTTGTCTCTACAGCTGGACTATGTCAGGCTACACAGTCAATGATAAGGAGTCTCGCTTTAATTGGACTAGTACTGAGGAATAGCACATATCCATGTCTTTATACATCAAACCAAAGATTCTAAAGACTACAATAACACAATAAATACAAAATCATACAAGTTTATTGTGTAGCACTGTTTACATGACAAGTTCACATGGAAAAAAACAATATAAAAACAACAATTTCTTTATTTTGAATTGTATGAAATTTTGAAGTTTCATAATTTCTTATTTTCCAAAGAACCTCCATCCAATCTTTTGTTATTTTTTTTATGGATTTTACAACTGCATTTCTCCACTCAAGATAATTTTCATATTATAAATACATGTAGCTAAAATTTAAGCATTGAGATCGGAGAAAATATAGTACTGCACAAGGTATGGTGGTAAAATCTTTTTTTTAATGATTTTATACGACAGGTTAGCCTGGGATCCTGGCTCACTGCTCGTCAGTAGAGCCAGGCGGAATACAACATGGTTTCATCAATTGGATGTTAGAATCATGCATCGTGGAATAGCGTCTTTTCTTGACAAATGGCGGGAAATATTTATATTACCACAAAATTTATTGAAAATTATTTTTTATTTTATATGGAATGCAAATTTCAAAAAAATGAAAAAATATAATCCAAAAGTTATTGATTAACATAGTGAATCACCAGTTAATTAACGATGCGATTCGATGTATTTCTTGTTTATAGAACACACACATGTGCAGTAATTCAGTCCTGTTGAGCGCTGATAGTTGGTCAAATGGATTGTATTACGCCTGGTCCTATCGATGAAGTATTAGATTGGGCCAGGATAACGACAGGTAGGCAAACTTTTTGTGTTTGATCCAGGTATTGCAACAGAAACATTTCCAGTATTTATGAACACAGTATTTTTAATTTCAACTTTCTATCCAAATAAATACAGTTTACAAAAGTGATCATTAGTCTCCAATCTAATCTAACCATCAAACTTTTGTAAAATTTCTCTCACTGCTGGAAACACTAAACATTCTGGAGAATTCTGATACAAATCACTAAAGCGTTTTAATAACTGAGATATGGCCATGTACTGTGCAGTATGTATTTGACGTGCTAAGTTTGGACCTTGCATCTGTTCAATGGCATTTTTGTTGATATCATATAACAGTTGAGTGTACATTGTCTGTGGTTCAATGCCACCTTGCTGTACATTCTTTGTGAACTGAAGCTAAAAAAGAACCACATATATGATTATATAAATTTAGAAATTTTTATGGTAATTGGAAATTGATTACCGGTAAATCAACATATCAATATATACGTTTAGTGACGTTCCCTTGTCACCATCTTATGGTGTTTATATTTCTCAACTTGTTCGATTCGCTCATGTATGTAACAACGTATTTGATTTTAAAGAAAGAAATCTCTTTATTAATGAAAAATTATTACACCAGGATTTTCGATTTCACAAACTAGTCAAAACATTTACTAAATTTTATCATCGGTACAAGGACTTCATTCGTAAATATAAATCAACATGCAGACATCTTATACATTAAGGTATTTCACATCCAATCTTTTATGATAATATTCTTTACAAAACACAAAAATGTCCGCATTCACCTCAACAGCTAACCAAATCTTTAAACAAGACTTATTCAGAAGGGATATACTTACGATACTGTTGTCAGGTCATTAAGGATGGCATATTTTGGTATAAAAATTCACTCAGGGTCTTTGCATAAACACATTTATTCTAAAATCAGTTGTTGGCATGATACGGGTTATGTTCTTCTCAAATATTTTATGATGGTATGATACTAAACCCCTAACGGGAGGGATTGTGCTGGATTTTCATATGATGAAGACATAATCTTTCAATCAGTTTAATTGAGGTCTGGAGTTGGCATGTCAGTAACTGCTAGTAGTCCTTTGTTAATTTATGTATCATTGTCATTTTGATTAGTTTCTTTTGTTACCTATTCTGACATTGGACTCAGACTTCTTTTGAACTGAGTTTTACTGTGCGTATTGCTGTGTGTTTCTTTATTCTACATTGGCTAGAGGTATAGAGGTAGGGCTGAGATCTTTAACCCCGCCACATTTTTGCGCCTGTCCCAAGTCAGGAGCCTATGGCCTTTGTTAGTCTTGTATGTTTTTTAATTTTAGTTCATTTATATGTTTTGGAGTTTAGTATGACTTCCATTTTCACTGAACTAATACACATTTTTATTTTTGGGCCAGTTGAGGCCCACCTCCGGGTGCCGGATTTTCTCGCTGCGTTGAAGACCCATTGGTGGCCTTCGGCTGTTATCTGCTCTTTGGTCAGGTTGTTGTCTCTTTGACATATTCCCCATTTCCATTCTCAATTTTATCAATATATCATCTATTGTAATATCTATCATCTAATAAAAGAAGAATGTGTCCAGATGCCCCTACTTGTAAATAAACATGAGTCTTAAGTACTAATTCAATTGTGTTGTGGTTAAGTAAAGTTAAGAGTACGGAAACTGCAAATTTGCCAATTTTTCCATTTAGTAAGCAACACAACTCGAGAACTGCTAAAGTGATGCCATCCATATTCAAATTTGATCTGTGTTTAGTGGTAATAAGCATTTGGTATAAGTTCAGAACATTTGATTGTGGCAAAATAAGGTTAGGGTGCAGAAACTGCAAATTTTGCAACATAACTCAAGAATGGCAAAACTGATGCCACCCAAATTCAAATTTGATCTGTGTTTGGTGGTACTTAGCATTGTGTATATGTTTCAAAACATTTGGTTGTGGCAAATTAAAGTCAGAGTGCAGAAACTCCAGATTTACCAATTTTCCATTTATAAAGAGACATAACTGGAGAACAGCAAAAGTGACACCACCCTATTCAAATTTGATCTGTGTTTGGTGGTACAAATGTAATAAGCATTGCATATAAGTTTCATAACATTAGTTTGAGGGAAATTAAAGTTAGAGAATGGAAACTAAGTTTGGGACGTAAGGATGAGTGAACAGACAGACAATACACCTTATAGCTATTTGTCCGCCATTACTGGACATCGCACAAGTTCCCGTAAAATTTTGACGTCATAATAGAAAACATCTGACGCCACAATGGAAAAGTGATTGTTGTATAACGTCAAAAGTTCAAGCGGGATAGATTCTCAGGTCAAGCGGGACAGATTTCCAAATAGCGATAAGGTGTATGGTAATAGTTAATGTCCTCCCCCCTCTAATGTGAATTATAGTGTATATGAATATCGGAAATAACTTACAACAAAAAACTGGTTGATGCATGAGTGATTTATTGTGCAAGATG